TACTACCCTTGTATATTTTATTTATTCTCTTTGAAATGGCTGCTAAACCCTCCTAATAATGAAAAAAATTTTCCCAAATGGCAACACTACAGCCAACATGCCTGGAAAAAAAAGAAAAGAAAGCAGAAAGGAAAAGTTTTTTCTGAACATAATATTTCAGAACATACTTTTAAAAATATTGAAAAGGTAAGTTTACAGTCAGCATATTTTAAAGCTGTTTTCAAACATAATTGTGCTTTTTCTTCATTCTAAGCTTCATACATCAGAGTATTTTTTTCCCGAAAGTAAATATAGATAAGACTTACTCTGTGGGCCTCAATAACAAAAATGAATCAAAGTTTAACTAAAAGGATTTCAGGCTAAAATAAGTAAAGGTAGCATAGCAGGGATTTGCAACGCAAGCAAAGTTTGAACCAACCAACCTCTAAATTCCCAACACGGAGTTCTGTGATTCTTAGACTAGGATAGAGGAAGACAGAGGCAGGGAAAAGAAGGCAGAAACTTTTAAGATGTATCAGAGGCATAGGGAGCATTCTGACTGGAATGAATGCATATGGATGTGTACTGGTCAATACATTTGAAGGGCTGATCATAGACTGAGAGGGGAGCAAAAGAAGAGGATATTAAGTCCACTCAGCATTATCTCCCTTCTCTTGTAAACATCTCCTCCTCTTTCTCTTCCTTAATTTTTATATCTGAGTGTCTCTTGATGTCCCCAACTTTTGAAGTCACTCTTTGCTTGAATACCCAGGAAAATTCACTTCTTCCCATAAATAAGGACAGATTAAATTGTTTATGGTAATGAATGACCCCCAAATCTCAATGACTTCCGACAATAAAGGTTTTTAGTTCAATCATGCCATGTGACATCCAGAGATCAATCTGGGATGCAGATATAGGTGGACAGGGCAGCCACCATCTCAAAGGTTTCCCTCTATGCCAGAAGGGAAGAATTCTAGAGCATTAGCAATAAAAATCCTCACCTCTTCAATGACTTGTATCATTTCTGCTCACGTCACGTTGACCATAACTAATCATATGGTCTCACCAAATCACAGCAGGCACTAGTACTATGCTACCATGTTGCTGGAAGGTAGAGTCAAAAACATGGTAAACATTACAAATGACTATCACACCATGTAACCTTGGGAAGTCCAACATAAGTTTCAGGACTTCCTTTTTCTGACAATGTTTTTCTATAAACTTGAAAGCACAGTATTCTGTTCAGGTTTATGCATGCACTCATATTACTATCTCAAAGCTTTGTGATATAAAATAATTAAATATTTCACTCTTCCAAAGTCTTCCCATTGCTCTATTTCAGCTCCATCTTGCTCATTGACTCTATAAAGTTTACACTTATTGTGGGAGTGAGTATAATGCCACAAATTTCATCTCTTTAAACACATTCAATGCCATACATAAGCATTTCTCTCCAGATGTTTTAAATCATGTCTGAGGGGAATGAGTTTTATTTCCTTTAATGCTTTTATTTCCATTTTAGCCAAGTGGAGATCTTAGGGTGGGTGAGGCATTTCTGTATTAAAATTTCATGTCCTTACTGGCAGTGTCAATAATATCTTCTAAGGATGTATTTTGTAATTCACTGAGCTCCACCCTTTTCTAATCTCTTCATCTTGCTTTTCCTAGGATTACAAAATATAATCAATCAAGTATATAATTTGTGTTTTCATTTTCTCGCTATGTGCCAA